TAACCAAAATGTGCCATTGTTTAAGTTGTGTGGTGAGTACTTCCAGAGGGCAAATGTGCCATGTGGATAATCAAAATGGCATGACAGGCAGGGAAGATTTATCTTGGTCGTGAAGTTCACATCAGGTTACTGTAGATATTTAGCTTGTTAAAACCATGACAGAATTTGAGATACACATTAACCTGAATTCATCTGAATATTGGAATCATTAGGGAGGTGTGGATTGGTGGTGATGCAATGAATGGGATCCCAGGAAGTACAAATCATTTAAATTATTTTGTTCAGCACCTTGCATTAACATAGTAAAACACCCCTAAGCATTTTACAGGTGTGTGACCATACAGAGCTTGACACTAGGTCTCACACAGGTATTGTCAGTACTCACCATCAGTATTCATTACAAACTGACAGCAACTTTTGGAGTGCACAATGCAATCAAACACAGTCAAGCAGAAGTTAGTTGCCGGTTTAATTTTTCTGCATGGTGCAAGCTTTTGGAAATTCTCAGGTCTGCTAGAAGCAACCAGAAATCACTGAACTGATGAGAACTTTCCCTTTGACTCCATTAGACTTGCTGTAAATACCCTTGAAAAAGTTGCCCCATGTTAAATGATGTGCAACTGTGATTTTAACTATGTCCAAAGTCCATAGTTACCATTGAAGAGCCTCAATGGCCCAAAAAAAGGTTTGTTTGTGCGGAATGACAATTTTCTTCATTAGAATGAATCACATTCCTCTTTTTAAATAAGTTTGGTATCTCAGCTCCTTTCTGAATTCCATGAGAATGTCCCAAACTTTATTTTTGTCTGTAGAATGATATTGAAATCTGTAGAGGACAATCACTGTTTCTGACTTCATGGGTTGCTATCAGTGAGAATACTTCAAGGTGATTGGCTGCTTACCACATCTGATGATGTCATTGTTATACAAGGCCTGGAGATTCCCTCGATTCAGAACCAGATCAAAATGCCCTTAGCAGAGGGGAAATCCACACCACAGAAGTTGCTGGATCTTTATGGACAGCTTTCTTTGCCATCAGTTTTGAGATACCTTACAATGTATATGATTTTATGGTAAGATTTTGGGCTTCAAACTGGGTTCCTGATTTCACATTAAATGGAGATTGAGAATTGGCCAGTCTAAGTCAGAACATATGCTCGCAATCTATTTACGGATGATGGGAAAGCTGTCTAAGCTGGAAGGCAAAGCTGTTCCAATACAGCTACAACAGTGACATCTACCCGACAATTTGAAAACTGCCCAGGTATGTCCAGTCCATAAAAAGCAGAACAAATTAAACCTGGCCAATTATCATTCTGTTGGCCTTTTCTCAATTATCAGAAAAGTGATGAAAGGAGTCCATAGAAAGATTTAAAAAAGACATAGGAGCAATTTTGTTTTTTTCACACAGAGGGTGGTTTGTGTGTGGAATGAACTACCTGAGGAAGTGGTGGATATGGGCACAGTTACAACATTTGAAAGACACTTAGCTAAGTACATGAGTAGGAAAGGTTTGGAGGGACTTGGGCCAGGAGCAGGCAAATAGGACGAGTTTAGTTTGGGATTATGTTCGGCATAGACTAGTTGGACCGAAGGGTCCATTTCCATATTGTCAAAAGGGCCATCAAGGGGCACATATTCATCAATTTGAATTGATTCCTGTCTTCAGTTTTACAGGATGGCATATTATCTTACTGCTACATATTATAGGATGGGATCTACCTATTTTAATAATGTCTGTCCATGACAAATATTATTAAGATCCCTGGTGATAGAAATACTGAGAAAATCATATTCCACAATGAGACCTGGCTTGTTAGGTCATAAGATTATTTTAGCAGCTGGTGACCATGATTGTTAGTCACTGTACAACAGAACAACATTTTGGGGGCTTTGATATGAAAATGTACTGATAAAGACTGATAGGGAGTGACAAAGTCATAAAAAAGATGATACTCTGGAGGACTGTGAGCCAATATAGGTCAGTGAGGATGAGGGTGAGAGGGATTTGTTGCTGGAAAAGACATGGATGAGAGAACCTTCAATACGGTTACATAAGTTTACAGAGGGTTGAGCCTAGAAAGCATTGAAATTCTAAGGTCTGGTGGTTAAAGATATGCACGAAGGTTTCAGCAGCAGATGAGTTGAGATGGAAGCAGAGACAAACAATTGGTCAATATCAAGGCACAAAGTGAATCCATGTTCCAGCATTCCATGTGAATGCATGTTCCAGCAGCAATTCAGTCATTTCCTTGGAGACAGCCTCCTAATTTGCTCACTTATGGGCTCATTATTCAATTAATAATGGGGGATGGGCTCCCAGTGTTGCAGACCAAACAGAAGGCAACCAGCTCTGAAGTCTGAGGAATGCCAATAGCATAGGTGGGAGCTACTTAGGCAGCCAGAAGACAGCAAACCACGGACTGGTGTTCAATAACAAAATAGTGTACCAATCAGTTGGGGCCTTTCCCGGTAGATCAGCAGAAAAGCCCCTTGGTCGAATCATTAGGGCTGCAGGGTTGCAGCATCCCTACCTAAGGGACTTCTGTGTGTCATAGAGCCACAGGCTTCAGTGGGTAATTGTCCCACTGTCAGGACAATGTGGAGTCCAAATTAATGGCAGCTATCTCTCTGACATCCTTCAAACTGTGAGAGACAGTGTGCATACAGCCTCAATACCTTGGTAAGGTTTGCTGAAGAAGCCAATTCTGGAAGGGCAGTGCCTGCCTCAAGTGACACACATATAGTTGTTTCTTACGGTATTGTGTAATGATCTCTGCTGTGCCTAGTTTTGCAGTGCTGGCATCTGCCTCGGAGCTTTGGGCAATAGATCATTGTGGGGACAGACTTCCTCCAACAGCTGGTGTTGCCATTTGCATTGATCATTAGCTAGAGTTTTCCTATTTATGTTGATTGATGTTGACAGCTTTCATGTGCAGGGAACAATAGTAATTGGGAAAGACAGGAAATTGACATTATGGCTAAAATAAGATCAGATATTACCATGTTGAGCAGCCTAAAAGAGTCAAATAACTTACTCCGCTCCTAATTTATTTTTTGCTTTGACAGCATTAGAGCTTTGGTAGCCCCTAGTCTCATTGTATAGGATCCCCATATTGTGCATTTTTGGGATGTGGTAATTTTCCAATCTGTCCCATGTCCAGCTAGTGAATCCTTTTTTTTTTTGCTTCATTATGCATGATATGCTGCCATTGAACACACTGCTTCATTGTGACTTTTTCATTTTTAGGTGATGCTAAGGATGTCTTTTGGACACTGGAGATGGGCTAGGGTTAGGCTTGAGCTTCTCTTTTCCTCTCTGTGGAGTTTCTTTTCTTGATAGAATTACCTTATCCAGAGTGCACTGCCATACAACAATGCTGAGGATACAGATCATTTACATAAGTATCTTGGTCCTGCATGAAGAGGGTACTCAATTTCAGAAATCAGCTTTCCACCTCGAGGAAGCAAGCAATTATCCACATCCAAAGTGCTTCCTGCTTCCACTCGAAATTCTCTCGTGGTGGGCAGGACAACATCAGCAACTTGTTTGATCATGGTTACTGAACAAGCGACTAGTTAACAACAGCTATTTTACAAGCCCTTGCCCCATTCCCACCACCAGTGGTTGGTAAAATTCAGTTTATTGTCACAGAGGTGAAACTATGCTGCCTTTATGATGGAGAGCATATGGAGTTGGAATTCCATTGAGGATCAAACTCACACCTCTGCCATCCCACTTCCACCGCCACATTGAATTTTGGGCATGCACTTTTCTTAAAGAAGGCAAGTTTACTGAATCTTAGCCATACAAGGCCAGCATTTTTCAGATGGCAGAGTTTTCTGACCAGCCTGCCACAAAATAATTGTTGGAGAGCAGATCCCTGCTGAATCTTGCTGCCCAGTGTTAATTGGCTGGAGATGGGACTTCTGCCCATCACTCAGAAAGAAGTGCAGTTTTCAGAGTTACTGTTGAATGTTTGATTGGCAAATCTCTAGCCCCAGCAGCACCAAAAGGTGCAATGGACAGGACTGGGACTCTAACTAGTCCTCACAGTCTAAGTTCTGAAGTCCACAACTAGGTAAGTGTGGACGTCTCAGAGTGGTTAGGGGAGGCGAAATTTAGATGTGGAGGGGAAAGGGGACTGAAACTGCTGGCAGAAAGGAAGGATCATCTGGAGGTTCCTCACTTTCTGGGCTTCCCCGTCCTTCTGCTGAACACCTCCCACCAGTCTGAAAGTTGAGGCCAATAAATTGAAGAAGATGGAGATCTTTAATTGGTCAGTTCAGGGCCTCAACTGAGGTAAAACTTCAGGTAAAACAAAGGCTACTTTGTCTAACCCTTTCCAGTCTCAGCATAAAGCTGCAGACAATAGTGGAAAGGCTACACTGGGAATCTTACAGCACCATTCTCACTCTTGCAAACCTGTCAGAGGTGGAATGTCAAATTCTGCCAAAAGATGGTATTCAGAAACCGTTTCCACTTGGTGTTTTCTGGCCGCCATCAATTTACCATCATCTTCTCCAGAACAATCACAGGTGAGCAATAAATGGTGGCTTAGCCAGCAACACCTAGATCCCATAAATGAATTTGAATAAAATATTCCATGCCTTTGCTCCCTGATCTCAATTCCTATCTGCAGCTCTTTCTGTTGTGTGCTTCTAAGCCTTCCATTAGCCCAGATCCTCCTTCCACAGTCTTTTGCAATTCTAGTTCCCTTCATTGCTCCTCATCTTCTCTGATCTTGATATGAATCAGTAATTTAAAAATTGTTAAACATCAGGACCTCAGGAAATAATTGATGATTTTTGCCTACTCGAGCACCAGATTAGCTTCAACCCCATCAGACAATCATCAACAGTTCTGCACGTAAAAGAATGGTACATTAAGGTAATTGGAGTCTCTTCAACCAGAAACAATATGTAGCAGAAAGTAAGCTTATTTGGAATGCTTGAAGAGATTCTCTGCAGTCAAAGAAGAAAATATGTCAATTATTTACCTGTCCCTCAGAGTCTTTTTACTTATATTTTTCTTGGATTCATTTGTGAGCCATTCCTGCAGATCGGAAAGGTTTATCCCCTGAGCAAAACCTTGATCTTGAAGATTCAATAATTGCTTTGCAAGTAGCCGCTGGGGAACCAAAATAGCTAGTTATTTTCCATTTTCCAACATGCTCCCAATGTGAATTTGGTTCAAAAACATTTGATTATTCACCTGTTCTTGTGCATACTTCCTTTCAAAGTCTAATTTGATACTGGTTAAATACTGTCTATACTGATTAAATTCCTTCAGGGTGCAAATAATCTGAAAAAGAAGAGAAATAACTTACTAATTAATAGATCCAATGAAAAATCATTGAACTTGAAACATTAACTTTTTATTACTAATTACAGCTGTATTTTCCAACCATAATGGAATGTAGTTTATCATTGGTGAGGGAATTGCAAATATTTGCTGCCAATGCTATTATTTCTACACAATGTTTATGAGGAATAGAATTGAGATTCAAAGAAAAAAGTATTATTGTTAGGAGATGGTGGCATACCAATAATGACACTGGACTAATAATCTAGAGGCCCAGCCTCTGTGCGCAGATCTCTGGACCCTGCAGTGTTCTTACTGACATATGGGAGTTTGTGGCAAAATTGGGAGAATTGTTCCACAGCCAGTCAAGCAACAGCCTTATGTAGTCATTCTCCCAGAATCATACCTTAAAGACTATGCCCCAGACACCACAATATCACTATCGCTTGGTATATCTTGTCCCACTGACAGGACAAACACATCAGGTATACTGGGACAGTCGTGTACAGTCGGGAGGGAGTTGCCTTACGAGTCAACATTGACTGTACCCCATGAAATCAGGTCAAACATGGGCAAACACCTGCTGATTACCACCTACTTGATGAAATAATAGTCCTATCCAGGCTAAATACAAACTGAATGGCACACTTAGTATGACAAGGGCATCGAATGTACTCTAGGGGCATTTTCATGTCCATCACCAAGACTCAGTACCAATTAGTCACTGCTGACTAATACATTCCTAAAGTGCTAAAGGGCATGCCTACTAGACTGGAGCCGCAGTAGGTGGTTAAAGAACCAACAAGAGTGAAACATATACTTGACCTCATTCTCACCAATCTACCTGTAATCATATGTACCTGTCCATGACAGTATTGGTAGAAATGACCACTGCACAGTTCTTCTAGAGATGAAGACCTACCTTCACATTGAAAAATCCCTCCATCATATTGTACAGCACTATCACTATCACTGTGCTGAATGGGAGAGATTTCAAACAGATCTGCAATACAAGACTGGGCATCCATGAGGTTTTGTAGGCCATCAGCAAAATTGTATTCCACTGCAATCTGAATCTTATGGCCCTGCCTATCCCCCACTGTACCATTACCATCAAGGTAATCAATACTGATACAAAGAAGATTGCAGGACAGCAAGCTAGAAACAGCACAAGGTATAACTTAAAATGAAGTGTCAATCTGGTGAATCTATGAGACAGAACTACTTGCATGCCAAATACTGTAAGCAGCATGCGATAGATGGAACCAAGTGATTTCACAATCAATGTTTCAATCCTAAGATTTGCTGTCCTACCACAACCAGTCATGAATGGTTGTGGACCATTAAGTAACTCACTAGAAATGGAGGATCCACAAGTATCTCCGTTCTGACTATTAGGGGTCCAATATCAGTGCAAAAGACATGTCTGAAGCATTTGCAATCATTTTCAGTCAAATGTACCAAAGAGATAACCCATCTCAGTCTCCTTTTGTGGTCCACAGATACCAGTCTTCAGCTAATCGAATTCACTACACTTCAGACATGGGTCTAGGCAGTGGATACTGCAAAGTTATAGAGCCTAACAATATTCTGATGACTTGTGCTCCAGAATTAGCCGCACCTATAGTGAAACTGCTCCAATACAGCTACAACACTGGCATCCACCTGGCAATGAGGAAAATTACCCAAGTATGTTCTGTACTCAAAAGCAGAACAAATCTAACTCAACTAATTACTGTCCATCAGTCTACTCTCAGTCATCGGGGAAATGATAGAAGGCATCATCAACAGGGCTACCAAGTGGCATTTGCTCAACAATAGGTTGCTCACTAACATTTAATTTGTGTTCCTCCAAGCCCTCTCAGCTCCTGGACTTATTTCAGCCTTAATCCAAATCTAAACAAAAGAGCTGTACTTAAGTAGGCATAACTGCCCATGGCATAAAGGACGCTTTTGACCAAATGAGATGACAAGGAAAAAAAAAAACAAGCAAAATTGGAGTCAATGGGAATTAGTGGGAAACTCTCTATTAGTTGTTTCCATACACAAAGTATGTGTTTGTTACAGGTCAAATATCTCAGCCACAGGACATCTGGGGAGGTGATGACCTAGTGGTATTATCACTGGACTGTTAATCCAGAGACTTAGATAATGTTCTGGGGACCTGGGTTTGAATCCCACCATAGAGATGGTGGAATTTGAATTCAATAAATATCTGGAACTAAGAGTCTAATGATGACCATGAATTGATTGTTGGGGAAAAACCCATCTGGTTCACTAATGCCCTTTAGGGAAGGAAACTGCCATCTTTACCTGATCTGCCTACATGTGACTCCAGTCCCACAGCAATGTGGTTGACTCTTAACTGCCCTCTGGGCAATTAGGGATGGACAATAAATGCTGGCCTAGCCAGCAATGCCCTCATCCTATGAATGAATAAAGGAAAAAAAAAACTCTCCCTGCAGGAGATTGTTGGTTTTGGTTTTCTAATCAACCTATTCAGAAATGTTACAATATGTCTCTAGAGCAGAGATAGGTCACTACCACAGCATCACAAGGGTCCCTGAGATTGTTAGTTTAGTGCCCTAGGCTTAATCATCTTCAGCTGCTTCAAGAATGACCTTCTCTCCACCATTAGGTCACAAGTGTGAATGCTGATTAATGACTGCACAACATTTAAGGGAGGCAATGGCCTTGTAGTATTATCCCTAGACTATTAATCCAGAGACCCAAAATGTTCTGGGTACCTGGGTTCGAATACTGCAATGGCAGATGTTGGAATCTGAATTAAATAAAAATCTGGAATTAAGGATCTGCCAATGACCATGAATCCATTTTGATTGCTGAGGGGAAAAAAAACCATCTGGTTCACTAATGTTCTTTAGGGAAGAAGACTGCCATCCTTACCTGCCCTGACCTACATGTGACTCCAGACCCACAGCAATGTGGTTAACTCTTAACTGCCCTCTGGGCAATCAATGCTAGTTGAGCCCTCATCCTATGAATGAATGAAAAAAAATCAGCACCATTTGTGAATCCTCAGATGCTGAAGCAGCCTATGTCCAAATGCAACAGGATTGAGCTAATAAGTCGCAATTGACCGTGCCACATAAAGTACCCAGTAGTGACCATCTACAACAAGACAGAATCATCGGTCTTTGACAGTCAATGATATTACTGTCACTGAAACACTCACTACCAATACATGAGCATTAATTTTGACTAGAAACTGAACTGTGGCTACAAGACTAGATGAGATTCTAGTAATTCTGGGTGAGTGACTCAGCCCATAACTTTTCAAATCCTATCTGTCTTCTACAAGGCTCCACTTGCCATAATGAGCTCAGCTCCAACAACATTCAGGAATCTTGATACCATCCAGAACAAAGCAGCCCATTGGATAGTTACCCAAACGAACACCATTAACATTTTCTCCCTTCTCCATTGATTCACAGTGATAGCAGGGGTACCATCTACAAATGTCCTGCAGTAATTCACCAAGGCTCTTTTGACAGCACGTTCCAAATTCATGACTTCTACTAGTTAGAAAAACAAGGTTAGTAGATGGGAACACCATTGGCTCCATCCTGACTTAGAACAAAATCACTTTCTTTGGATGAAAAAACCTGGAACCTGGAACCCAACAGCACTGACAGGATAACTACACCACATGGACAGCGGCAATTCAAGAAGGCTACATCCAGTACCTTCAAGGGTAAATACAGATGGGGCATTAAATGCTGACCTAATCTGTGAAATCCACATTTCATTAATGCGGTTTTTAAAACTACGCTGGGCACATTTAAATTCAATTAGAAAATCTAAATTGAAAGCATCTAGTGCCTTTTAGGGAAGGAAATCTGCTGTTATCTTCTGGACTGGCTACATCGCATCCTCTAATAAGTGTAACACATATCTGAAAGGGTTGACTAAAAAATATCTACGACCAACAAAAGCTACTTGGCACTACATTTTTGTGGACTCACGCAGAGTGACATTGGTGACACTTACTGACATTCAGGCACTTCAAAGAAAGTCTCTGGGTTGCCTGTATGTTTTCTAATGTGCCTACCTTTTGTATGACAGGATAAAACCTCACATAAACAAAAGGGAGCTTAAGAGGAAGAAGCTGTCAGAACTTTAATCAATTTAAAGATAATTTCATCTAAATCATGAGATTGGAGGCCTCACATGCAATAGTGCAGCAAAATTTGAGGTCTAATAGGTTCAGGGTCTTTATTCTACTTACTGTGTCTTAATCCTCATCAAAACTTTGCACAAAAGGAGCATGGCATGTTTTTTTTTAATTTATTCATGGGATGTGGGTGTCTCTGGCTAGGCCAGCATTTATTGCCCATCCCTAATTGCCCTGGAGAGGGTGGTGGTCATCTGCCTTCTTGAAACACTGCAGTCCTTGGGGTGTGGGGACACAGAGTGCTGTTAGGAAGGGAGTTCCTGGATTTTGACTCTGCAGCAGTGACTGGACAGCGATATTGTCCTAAGTCAAGATGGTGTATGGCTTGGGGGGATCTTACAGGCAGTGGTATCTCTAAGCATTTGTTTTCCTTCTCCTTCATTTGAACTTTGTTAACAGAAATTCCTCATTGTGGCAATTTAGACACATGTTCATACATCACCTCCAGATTTAACCCATTTAAAGCTTTAGTTGTTGGTCCACGATCAACCATTCTCCACAAACTCCAACTCATGCAAAACTCTTCTGATCATACCCAATTCCAAGAAAAAACTAGTTCATTTATCACGTCTTTCTTCTGATCAGCAGTTTCTTGGATTCCTCGTAGCCATTTCTTCTTTCTAAATTGAGGTTTTTAAGCTATAAGCTGAATGCCACCATCGACTAATGTACACCACCTGCTCTTTTTTTACTCTTGCTGATGACTTTGGTTTTGGCTTCTCGCCTTTATTCTCATTTTTTTAAAGAAGTGAGGCAACAGAAATAAAAGAACGGTGGAATCTTAAAGGCACCTGAATGACATGAGCTATGGTGAGATTTGTGGCAAAATCGAAAGAAAAGTCTGACGAGGCCTACCTCAACGTCAGGAAGAACTTGTTGCATCTTTTATGATTCTGCAGACTAGATGTGGGAAGGTTCTCTGTAGGCAGTAGAGAATTGCCAACTTAGGCAGATTATAGCTTGTTAACTGCCATGTAAATGCACAACTCCCCTTATTAATATTCAGCTTCAAATGCACCACTTACTCGAAAGGACCTCCGTGTCTCAGGGCACACTCCATGGTCACTGGCCAGTGCAACTCACAGCCATAGTCAATGGCATTCGACATGTGCCAACCTCTAAGAACTCACATGGTGTATCTGTGATTAATTTTTACAATGCCTCTGTACTTCAGTACTACACCTTGGGCTGCACTGTTGTAATGCTCAGAGATAGTAAGAATTGCTGATGCTGGAGTCAGAGATAACACAGTGTGGAGCTGGAGGAGCAGAGCAGGCCATGCAGCGTCAGAGGAGCAGGAAAGTTGATGTTTCGAGTCGGGAACCAAGGGTCCCGACCCGAAACATCAACCTTCCTGCTCCTCTGATGCTGCCTGGCCTGCTCTGCTCCTCCAGCTCCACACTGTGTTATTACCGTTGTAATGCTGCTGCAAGGACTGCCCTCGAAGAGCTCAGAGATGCAGTCTAGCTCAGCCCAAGAGCTCCCCACTTCCTATCTTAGCACTCAGTCTCTCTGACTCACCCTGGATGATTACAACATTTTTGGTCTTGAAATTGGGTCTGATCAGCAGAGGTTTGCATGAGTTGGAGTTTGTGGAGGATGGTTAATATTGGACTAGCAACTAAAGTTTTAACCAGCCTAACATTGTCTGGTGCCATCATCTCTTCTGCTGGTCCTGGGGGGAGAGGCGTTTGCCTGTGTACCACCTGTCCGGTAGGAACTACAGGTCCCTGCCCAAAAATGAGGTACCAAATCTCCCGTGATTGCCATGTCCAGGTCAAATGTCAGGAACTGTCTGGGGTGGCTCCAGGCTGGCAGTGCTTGTCCAGGTGTGCAACGTCCTTTTAAAGACAATTCCAGAGATGCTGGAAAATTCAGGGACATACCAGCAGTGGTGAATTGTTCCAGGAATGGCACATGATAAGATGGGCTAAAATCAGATGAGAGGAAACCTATACAGTGGCATAGGTATTTAATCAGGCATTTTGGTAACATACAGTGAGAAAGCCTCACTAGGCCTCACAGCAAAAAACTCCTCAAAAACTTGACAAAACTGGCACTTAGTCAAAAAAATGTAGGATTTTGTCCAAATGATGATATTGGTACAACAGTCAAAAGTTAACCTAAATCTTTATTCAAGTCATCAGAGTCTTTATTGCTCTGACCTATATTTATCCCATGACCAATAAAGTGAAAAACAAATATTCTGTTCATTACCACATTGCTGTTTGTGGGACTTGGCAGTGCAATTCTCCATTAGTACAAAAATAATTGGCTGGACTGCACTTTTGGGAATTGTTAGGTGGTAAAATGCATTGCGTGAATGAAAATTATTTGTTTCTTTCTAATGACATTCATATTCGATTATTATCATTCCTCATCTCTTCAGGAAGGAACCAGACATGAAAGCAACCCAAAGAATAATTGATAGAAACAGTACGTATAGAAAAACACTTATGAGTTTTACAAAATGAAGTCAGAACTCTTCAATTCAATTAATGATTTATGTATTATTGTTACCATTACCTCATCTCCACATACAAAATCAAATATAAAAGTAAACAAAATGATGCCCTGCACTGAGGATGTTACATAGTTAAAATCTGCAAAGCTGTCACTTTTCTATAAGATACATTTGAAAAAAAAACTATAATTCAAAATTAGGACAATTTTACCAACAGTCAGTTACCTTATTGTTTTCTGTGATAAGCCCCTGATTTTTTAACTTTTTCAGTATGTCTTTACGCCTGTAGTAACCACTTAAATAAGGATCATGAAGGCTTTGATAGTTGAGTTTTAACAGGTGCAAGTTGGGGTCTGTGAGGTTGAACTCGCAAGATGGTTGATGAAGCTGTAATTAAGACATTGAGCAGTTATGCATTGTCATGAATACAAAACTTTACAAGTTAGTCACATTTTTAAATATCCACTTTAACAGGAGTAAAAAAAAATCTGCAGAGGGGCGGTGAACATTTCTAAACACCTCACTTCAAGGCAACATGATCAGTTGCCATGCAGTAAGAAAATCAAACAAATACGTGGTTGCTCAGTCATGGATATAGCTGCCAAAAGGCACTTGTGCCCCAAAATGAGTGCCCAATGACCATCACACATCTACCGCCTGTGTGCACATTCTTGCCTGGAGGCCATGAGGTACCACAGCCCTGTCCCTGTCATCAGTCCTTCACCATGACAGAGTTTTGCCTAATGGAAGCCTGCACCCAAAATTGTTTAGGATGCAGGAGATAGAAAGGACAGCATCATCTTGGAGGTTGGAAGCTGAACTCAGTGGCATGGCAAATCAAAATAATTAGGGTCACTTCCTTATTGCAACCTCTTTTCCATCTTTATAGCCTTAGGACTACAATGCTGCCTACTTTGTGGTTAAGAACTTCTGGAACCTTCCCCTCAATCTTACCATTATGGGAGGCCCTTGGGCAGAGTGTTTGTTCTGAATGACATCACTCTCAGGGTCAGTGTAACAATACTTTAATACAGATGTTAAGCATTTCAAGCTGTAGATAGAAAGTCAATAGTATTAAGCAGAAACTCAGCTAATACCTTCTTGGGCCTTTAACCAAAACAATCTCAGATCTCTGAACAAGAAAAAACCAACAGGAGAGCATATCGACTAATTGAGGAGGAGTAAATTGGCTCTCCTTTTTTCAGTATCCTCAGTTGGCCACAATATAATTTTTTGTCCTTTTATCATGCAGCCATACCTCACTCCAATTAAAATGTTGTTAATTCATTCACTTGAAACAATAAATGCTTGTTACAAGGTTTTCTTGAGTGAAAGGAAGATCCATTTTATTACTTATTAACACTGAGTAAAAATAATAACGACACAACATCAACACACACACACACACACAGGCAGGTATAAAGTTAAAAAGGGAAGAGTGTCTAGTACCAAAAAGAAAGATAAAATATGAAACTTTAAAGTCTTTAGAATGTAAGTATGCGCAACTTGCTTTCTGCCTTCTCCTCACAACAACTTAGATATTTTTCCTTTCAGATACTCAAGGAGGACAACCTGGCCTTACAGTGATGGAAGGCAGTGATTAGAAAGAAACACCGTCAGTCGGTGAGATTTTGATTTGTCTGCTCGAGGTTGGATTTGCCAATGTTAACTTTCACGATTGTCAATCCAATTATGAAGCAAGTAAGCTGCAACTGCTGCATTAAATTAACAAACCAGTTGTTATAAAGAGGCAGAATGGTAGTCAAGCCCAGGATTTTAATCATAACAAGCTCTGAATAAAGGAATTAGAGTTTTACTTCTGTGACTTACCTTTTCACCCAGGGTTGTTGTGTACAGCAAAACGCCACTACCTGGAAGCAAGGGAAGCTTGGCCCCAAGCGGCAAATTCAGAAGTTGTTTTGATCCTGCCCCCATGATTGCTTTACTGCTCATACACTGCAAATCAAAAAAAAAATTGGTTGATTTATTAATGGATGAGGTGAATTTGTAGTCTGAAATTTTGTACATGGAATTTGGTTTCACAATTTGTATAAAGCCAGGAGGGGTAATTTAAGGTAACTTCTATAAGCTTTACTACAGTTGATAAATAACATAATCATGAGTTTATCAGATGATAATTCTAAAGATATACTAATATTATAGTGTTGCCTTGTTTTTTTTTAAGTGATAGATACACCCACATAACATGAGATATTTGAAAGTGCTTCACATAAGTCAACTAGTGTTTTGATTGAGGCAAAAGTGTTAGGACACTTTTTGTTCTTCAAAGGTAAATTGGGATCTAAATTGCACATCTGATCCGTTGGAATTCACAGATGCACCCTGAACTTAACACTGTATCCAATGGATGACATTTTCAGAAATTCAGCACTTCTTTATCACTGAATTTATGGAATAGGTATGATAATGGAAACAAAAGCCTGGAGAGAATACATTGTTAAAAAATATTTATTCGATGCAAGAAAGGAAGTCATGGTACCCATCCATCACTATCAACTTAGTAACTTTTATTTTTTCTCCATTGATACAAATATTATATTTGTAAGATTGTTACTTTTTGGAACTGCCTCTTCAACTTAGGGTAAAACAAGAATGAAGGGGGTCCTGAGACCTGTTCTCAATTCTATCTGATAATAAGGTTGTATGTCTTGGGTTTTGAAGGTTCAAGAAGGTTGTTTTACTGGGACGAGATGCAAGATGTTCACAACTTTAAACAATAGCAAAGAATTGCTGTTGGTTCTGGATAGATTGTTAGTCCTCAAGTCTTACAGGGTGGAACAGGAATGTCATGGTTTATAATGGATTACACTTTAAACTCTCTATTTAATTTCAATATTGAATGGAGTTGTGGTCTAGGGGATAACATTCCTACTGGGATATGAGGCCTGTATTCTTCATTTTGCCATGGAGATGAGAGAAGAATTCATAGTACACCACTGTAGTGTTGGTTTGCAAGAATCTGAGAAAGAGAGAAAGAGAAAGAACAGAAAGATAGAGGTAACAAGGTGTAGAGCTGGATGAACACAGCAGGCCAGGCGCATCAGAGGAGCAGGAAAGCTGACGTTTCGGGTCTAGACCCTTCTTTTTTTTCTTTCTGAAGAAAGGTCCAGACCCGAAACGTCAGCTTTCCTGCTCCTCTGATGCTGCCTGGCCTGCTGTGTTCATCCAGCTCTACACCTTGTTATCTCAGACTGCAGCATTGGCAGTTCCTACTATCTCAGAAAGATAGAGGTAGCTAGTTCTGTTCCTGAAGCGAAGGAAAAGCTGTCTTTCTTATTCATCACATAGAACGTAGTTGGGGGTTTACATTTGGATTGAAGGGATTTTGGTTAGCTTTGGCTAGAGGGAGAAATCTCCAGGGTAACTCTCACAATAGAAGTCAGTTTGGGGATTAGAAGCTAACCAACCAGGCTTGGAGAAAAGGAAACTGGCCAGTGGAAGCAGATAAAAATTTTAGACTGTCTCCAGGAGGAGAAAGTATCTACTTAAGAGACAGAGTGAAAAAGTAGAAACTTGGAGTAAGGTTGGTGGCGGGGGTGGGGGGCTGGGTGGGAAGGTGTGCATGGAATATTTGGTTGTCTTAAAAGTTAAAAGAAGGAAACTTTACTGTAGTGTAAAGAATGTTTCCTACTGAATAGTATTTAGACAATGTTGTTTTTGGTTTATTTATTTGTTATGTAAAAGTCTTAAAACTAAAAATCTTGTGTGATCCTGCCTGTCAGAAAGTTAAATATGGTGTTTAAAATGGTTAGTTTCTATGAGGGCAAGATCATTCTCTCTTCAAACAGGCTACAGCCAATCCCGAATTAAAGCAAAATATTGCAGGTACTGGAAGTCTGAAATAAAAACAGCAAGTGCTGGAGAACTCAACAGATTTGGCAACATCTATGGAGATAGAAACACAATGTTCTGAATAGTCATACTGGAATTAAAATGTTAATTTTGTTTTTCTGCTTCCACAGATGCTACAAGACCTACTGAGTTTCTCCAGCATTCTCTGCTTTTGAACTAATCCTAAATCTGGATTAACCTTCTATAGCTGACCAATATAAGATGCATGAGAACATCATAATGGATCTTCAGTAATCTTTTTCAATCAATTGCTAACAAGTTAGTGATGTTTTTAAACAGTATAAGACATGTATTTACAGCACTCCATCCATGTGGTAAGATTTTTGTGCAATGGACCACAGAATACACTAAAGGCAATAGTTTCAGTTTTGTAAGTCACTGCTAACCGGAAAGAGAGGGCGTTTCTGCTATGGCTGCAGGCAGCAAAGGCAAGCAATTCACTGCCACATAGTTACCACACTCATAGGAGTAAAGCAAAGACAAGCAACAAAATGGCCTGTCAGGGTAGAGAAAGGTAAAAGGGAACATGATGAAGGCTCTGGGGTTAACCTGGTGACCAGTCAGAGGCGAATGCTGACAGTATCAATCACATGCTGAGTTCCCTGCCATCACCTGCCATTCCCTAAATGTGAGGTGTAACTGGGAATAGCTGGAATAATGTCCAAGATGGGCATAGTCAGTATCAGGTTGATGGTTAAATGCATTGTTCCAGGTCTACTGGATGTTATGACATTGGAGGGACAAATACATGAAAGCATCTGTTTTCGAACTTCAGCTACATTTCATTTGCAAGTATTTATTTGCACATACAAAATGCATGCAGAGTGAACATGCCAATCCATCAAATGCTGGTCAAAGACAAATTGCACTGTGCTATTGGTGCTAGTTAAACAAACATTGTGATCTCAGTGATGCAATAGTTATCAACAATACCTTAAAAAGGAAGTGAAAACTGGCAAAAGTGCCCATCACTTGCAGAACTTCCAAAGGAATCAAAGCATGAGGGGAACATCACTCTGTCTCGTAAGTGTGATGATGGACTCTAATGAACTCAATGGTAGGTCTTATGATTGATGTCAGTCTGGGATGGGAAGGGTGTCTCAGCACTTCTTGATGTGTTAGTCACTCAGCTGGCACTGCACATTCACCACTTTTGGTATGCATTCCATGACCCAGGCTGTTGTGGGGCAGACAATAGGTTCCACAGCTTGGACTGATCTGGGGTGTGTTCTCCAATATAGTCCAGACAGAGAATTCCACAGACTCCTGGTTTATTGTGCTCTGCACAATTTGAGCAGGCAAGAAAGTGGTGTGATAAATTCTGAGGAGCTGGGGGAATGGGAGCATGCATCTGAAGAAAGTATGAGGACATTGAGCTGGAGCTCCCTTTGTGGATGACAGTGCTTAGCTGCATTGGACCGTATAAGGCAGACAGGACTCGATTGATACCTAGTTCCAGTAGATGCTAACTGGGTGCAGAAGACCATCATGGACTGTCAGGGTCATGATTCCAGCAATTGGTCTGCATTATGGAGGTGAACTGCAGCATCTATTCTTTTCCTTTCTGAACCCTTTTGCTGGCTGTCAATAAAAGTTCATGTTTGGAATTTTCCTATTGCTTGCCTGTATGTGATGGTTCCCAATTGGACAATTACAAGATGCAGGTATCCAATGGGCATTGAGGAAGGAATAACAGTGACATTAAGAAAGCATTTTGAAGGCCAGGTAAACTGTGGTGTCTGGCAGTTAAAGTGAGAAAATAGGATTCTATATGCAAAGGAGTATCAGCCACGAGCTGTCAGCAGTTTGGCTTTTTGATTGCTGTGTTATTATGCTGCCAGTCAGGGGCAAAACTGGATTTCAAACAATTATCTGGGTGTATAGTGGCCTTTCATAGATGACACAAGTGCCAAGGATGCCAGTCTTTTGACTGATGTTGTTCGTGAATGGCATGTGGTAAGATGGAATAGAGTCAGACATGTGGAATTTCATAAGCAGGGTAGGTAGTTAATGAGGAATGTTTGGTAGGATGCAGTGAAATCTGGGCATTGTGGAGGGAATCCCTCCAAAAAACTTGTCCCAATTCTCACTCAGCCAAAATTGGAAAATTAAGCCTGTTGTTGCAAAGAATGATGAAGACACAGACAGTAGCACTTACTCGTCACAGACTACTTTTGTCACACAGGTACTTTACAGCATTAACCCTTTCAGACCCTTCCACCCTTATATAACATGGGTTTCCATTATAAATGTGAAGTTATGAACATGTCATGGAAAACACTGACTCAGATGTGTGACAAAATCTTAACATTAGAAGGTATCATTTTTGGATACAGGAATTATGTCTAAATCTGCATATATTAAATTTTACAACATCCTTACAACACCAGCTAACATGATTTTCTGTACGTCATAAAACACCATACTAATTGTCATGGAAAATAAGAAAAAATACACCAAAGCAAAGAATTACAAACATAGAGGTGAGAGATGAAAGACCTGGTCAGGATATTTGACAGCTATGAAGGGACATTACAGCTATAGACTGTGAGAGATTTGGCAGCAAAGTAAAGCATACACAGAAATCATATTGCATTGTAAATGGTTGATTCAATGTGCCTTACACAGTCACAGGTGAATGCCATTATAATTATGCAACTTTGCTTATTCTTGTAAGAGACGGTAGCATTTGATAACTTAGATGGAGTGTGCACAGTTGGTAATATCCCCTCAAACCAAAGCCTTTGTCTTTTCTACATTAAGTCAATTAGATTAGTATCTAAAATAATTAGATATAATCGGCAAGGAGTAGTGGGAGATAAAGATTATATAAACATGGAGGTCAAGGCATAGGTGTTGGCTTATAATATTATTTCACCATTATGTCTATATGTCACTGAACAACACAATGATTTAGCTGCCTCATAGAAATGCAGCTGGTTTTGGCAGAAGTATCATAAGCAAATAAATTACTATCCTATTTCCTCTTTCCAAGAAAAAGGAGTATTTTACAAGTAAATAATTTAGATAATCAGAACAGGATGCTACATATTTAGATAAGTTTCTAACATCAAAGCACCGGTTGTCTCACAGCTAGGAGAGCCATCAGAGTAGTTATGATCAAGAACCAAGCCAAAGTGAAAAAAAACACGTTGGTAGTTTGGGAAATGTGAAATTTGGATCAAGGTACAGTGCTGATGTTCAGAAATCGATGTTTATTTTATACTTGTCCACATGGACCTCAAATTTCAAATTTTCAAGGTGGTGAGATTAGGGTCATCTACCACCACTTTCGCCCCAAGTAAGAGTTACAGAATATGAATTAAGGCATATAGGACAAGGGACCATGATCTTTGAACATCATATTGATGGTTCCATCAAGTTTCCTTGTAAAATAATGCAACTCTTCTCCAACTTAGTATATTAACTGTAGGTTAATATTTAAGTAGTGGGAGTTCAATTCTGCCTACTAAAACCTAGAATCAAACTTAATGAAGTAACCTATTTATTCTGTCAGTTTTGGGAAGGCTAATTTTGTTGATTTTCATAATGATTTTAAATAATTTTGTTTGAATATATCTTTCATACCTTTAACCATGTCAGAGGAACAGGAGGAATAGCAAAGCAGGCTATCTTTAAAGATAAAGTTTTGATTTGCTGGGAAAATGGCTACTTTCTAGCAAGTTACATGTTTTATAATTGTAATTTGGGTAATCAAATGAAATTTTAGATGCAATTTATTTGTTATCAATCCATATTTGGATGAGTCTCTTATATATTTCGAAGAATTATATAACGTAACATAAATTATGACACAGAACAAATTCAGCCAAAACCAGTCTATGCTGCTACATACATAAACAATAATCTTAATTTCACGAGCGCAGTGGTCTTGATTTAATGTATCTGCCCTCATTTCCTTATCTGTATATTAAAGCTTTACTTCAACCACTGATCTAGCTGACTGCTGCTTCATTTACTAATTGTAAAATTACTCTCCAAAACCCCATAACCCTCTGTGTGGCAAAATAAAAACTTTCCCTCCATCTGACTTAAATGTCTTGCATTTCTTTAAAGATTTTTGACCCCACATCTCCTGAAAACAATCTGTTTCTCATCTGCTCCAACCCATCTCTTCAGAATGTTGAACAAATTTGTCATGTCACCACAAAAACCCACCTTGAGTTTTATTAACCAGACACCTTATTCTGTAAATATAGGTAAAGCTTTATTTTATAAACCAGGCCTTAATGGGACCCTTTCCCTCACGGACCTCTTATATTCTTGCATCTCTGACAGGGATGAAGGAAATGGCCCAATTGTGCTGATCAAAAGGCCAATTAATTAACATATTGTTAGTTAGATTTATCTAAAATGTGGAGACTAAAATTATAAGTTCCTCCTTAAGCAATTTCACTGTCTACTCACTTTATGGATTCAACATTCTTCTTCTTCGAGTTCTCTATCTAAATATAGATCCAAAGAGCAGTGCCACAGTTGGTAGGGCAAGTAAGGTGCCAACTCCAGCTGGTACAGGGATCAAACCCTGTGCTATTCACACTGATCTGATCACACCCACCATCCTACCAGCTGAGCCAACCATCCAAGGCATCCCAGCTGATACGTCAACATAATACTTCTACATGCATGTTGTTGCCTGGGGCTTTAGATAGTGATAGTAAGAGCTCCAATTTCTTTCCACGGGACGCATCTCACATGGCTGCCAGGAATCTATCATGCTTTTATTGCTTCCCATTGCCATTGGAAAGATTTGTAAGGATTAATTTAAATTTGCCTGGCCACTTTATGAACACATCTTTAGCCATCAAGTCCAAGAGTGGGACTTGAATCCAGAGCTTCTAGTTCAGAGACAGGAATGCTCCCATTAAACCATTAGACCTCCTTGGCCAACATTACATTTTTATATGGAGATAGCAAGATCTGCAGTTGCTGGAGTCAGAGACAACACAGTGTGGAGATGGAGGAACACAGCAGGTCAGGCAGCATCAGAGGAGCAGGAAAGTTGACGTTTCAGGTTGGGACCCTTCTTCAGAAATGGGGAGGGGGAAGGGAGTGAGAAATAAATAGAGAGAGGAGGGGTGGGGCTGGGGAAGATAGGTGGGATGGTGATAGATGACTGCAGGTAGGGAGTGGTGGGGATTGGTCAGTGGGATGGGTGGGGCGGATAGGTGGGAGAGAAGATGTACAGGTTATGTCAGGTCAAGGAGGTGGGGATGAGAGGGAAGGTTGGAAATGGGATGAGGCTGGGGCTGGGGAGATTTTAAAACTGGTGAATTGCATGTTTAGGCCATCAGGCTGTGGGCTCCTGAGGCGGAATATGAGGTGCTGCTCCTCTAGTTTGTGGGTGGTGTCATTTTGGCACTGAAGGAGGCCCAGGATGGATATGTCACCCAGGGAGTGGGAGGTGGAGTTAAAATGGTTGGCAGCCGGAAGGTGTTGACATTTTTCGTGTACACAGCGTAGACGCTCTACAAAATGGTCTCCGATTCTACGCTTGGTCCCACAGATGTAGAGGAGGACACATTGGGAACAGCAGATACAGTAGACCAAGTTGATGGATGTACAGCTGAACATGTGTCTGATATGAAAGGTTTGTTTTGGGCCTTGAATGGAGGTGAAGGGGGAGGTATAGGGGCAGGTATAGCACTTCTTGCTGTTGCAGGGAAAGGGGCTGGGTGTGGTGGGGTTATATACTGTGTCCCTGCTGTAAAGTCCACTGTTCCATTTCTTTTTATGACCTCATCCATTTGAGGTATTACATCAATGTCTCATAGATCTGAATCCCTAACCACTCTACCACTTTTGTCCCAATTATTACTTTTTGACAAAAATGCACCGTTGCATTGAATTTCACTTGACATTTAAATATCCTGTCTTAGTTACCTCTTGTAAAATCCTTCATTCCTCAGAATTATTAACTAAGCCTGATTTGTAATGTCATTGCTTGACCCCAAAGGAGCATATCCTGGCCTGGCCTGGATGCTACCACAAGAACTGGCACGCAGGGCGGTGGTAGACTTCCGGCTCGTGGACACTGCCATCCAACATCTTAAAACAGCGGAGCTCGGACCCGACATTGTGTACCAGTTGGAGGATGCTCAGGTGTGTGGTGGAATCCCGGCTGCACATACCCCTGCTCAGACAGAATTTCACATTGGCCCCAGGATCCCGTACCTCCCCGGCAGACTGTGCCCCATAGCCCGAGCCACCTTCACTACGTAGATGGAATGGATTTTAAGAGGGGTGAAAAGGCAGGTCCTGTACAGACTGCTGCTTCACACCATCCACATCTTCTCCTTCATCTACCGACCAGACACACTTTGGCGTGCCCATTTACTACCAGGCAGTGGGGATCTCCAGTGGAGGGCTCTGTATGTGGGAGTCCTTCCCCTTTCCCTTGGGTATCTGGGGTGAAGGGATTTGCACGCTGCAGTCCTCTGCAACCTTAGATAGCAGTGGTTCATGGATTCCTGTTTGTTTTGCAGCTGCTGTGGCGTCCCGTGGACCATATGTATGTTGGGTGTGGGCGTTTGCACTCCCTTTGAGGTTATCTCAAAAACCTTCCCTGCTTTTGGCTGCATTTCAGCCCCACCCTCCTGATCTTTGGGCACCTGGTGAGGAGGGAAGAGGGTGCGTGGGTGGGAGGGAGGATCTCCTCGTGTGTCTGCTCCTGGGCCTGGCCAAGCTGGCCATTAACAGGTCCAGGCAGCGGGCCTTGGAGGGCTCCGTTTTGCTGACTATGCTATGTCCGCAGCTATGTCTGAGCCCGCGAGTCCCTGGAAAAGTCCACCACCACTCTCGATGCTTTTAGGGAGAGGTGGTGTCGCGGGGGATGGAGTGCTTCGTTACCCCTTCCAATTCTATTTCGTTTTGATCGCCACCCTCCCCTTCACTTTTGTTTCACCAAACACGGGGTTGCTTCCTGATGCTTGTCGAGAATCAGAACCATTCCATCTGCTGCGGCCTCACGGTGGGGAGGATCTGCTTTCCATGAAGAGGATTACCTGGTGCAGTTAAATTTAGTCCCAATCTCCCAGCGTGTGACAGAAATCACAACCCACACTGGTGCTGTTTAACTCCCCTCCCGGAGCTGGGTAATTAATTTGTCTGGTCATTGATGAACGCCCGCTTTCAGCCTTCCCTCGGCAAAGCGACAACTTAACTTTCAATGAAAGGCTGTCTATGTTACTCACATCTCTTTCCTCGGCCGTGCGAAGGGCCGCGTTCCTGGAATAGGAGGAGAGGTAGGCTTTCATCTTGGCGGTGTGAGTACGCTACACTGAGAGTTTGAACGGAAGGTTGAGGCGAGGCACTCGCTACTTTCTACTTCTAACTCCGAAAGTCTTTTTTTTTGGGAGGAATTTATCTCCACGTGCATTGGTTGCTAAGACGCTGTGTTAACTGGGGAGGAGTCAGACCTGCTCACCAGCCCCGGCCATATCCAATAATTAATAATTAACAAACAGCACCTTGACAAGGCAAATGTTTACACCGTCACCATAGAAACTGCAGCAAAACCAACAGCAGAAACATCGCGAGGTCTTGGCACTCGAGGTAAACACACTCCATAGCAACGATGACTAAAAAAAGAGACTTTAAATTCAGAGATAACAAGGTGTAGAGCTGGATGAACTACACCTTGTTATCTCAGATTCTCCAGCATCTTGCAGTTCCTACTATCTCTGAAACGACTTTAAATTCATGTCGTTTGACCCCCCCCCCAGGTGTCAAGCACTTCACAGCTAATTTTCTGAAGAAGGGTCCAGGCCCGAAATGTCGGCTTTCCTGCTCCTCTGATGCTGCCTGACCTGCTGTGTTCATCCAGCTCTACACCTTGTTATCTCTTACAGCTAATTTTGATGTGTTATCACTGCTAACCATTATAAGAAACGTGGTAGCCAATTTGTACACAGCAAACTCCTACAAACAGCAATGTGATGACCAGATAATTTGCTCTTTAATGTTAACTAAGGAACAAATATTGGCCAGGCCAGCAACAGACAGCTCCCCAACTCTCCCTCGAAATAGTACCACGACATCGTTCCCAGCAGATGGATTAAATATTCCAACCACAGAGCAGCACCTCCAGATCACAGCTGGGCAAGATTCACCCATCATTACCAACACAACTGGGTGTCTCCCGTTAATAATGTAAAGTCCTTTTTAATATTGCCCCCAGTTAAAATAAGAAGAGTGGAAATAACAAAGCAGAAACTACTGGACATATTGAAAAGTCAAATCAGACTCTGAAAGAAATCAACAATTGTATATCACCCTTTACAAGAACACTGATAGAATCATAGAATCCCTACAGTGTGGAAGCAGGCCATTTGGCCCTCTGAAGAGCATCCCACCCAGATCCACTCCCTATCCTATCCCTGTAATCCTGCATTTTCCATGGCTAATGCACCTAGCCTGCACATCCCTGCCACCTAATCTGCACATCTTTGGAAGGAAACTGGAGCACCTGGAGGAAGCCCATGCAGACACAGGGAAAATGTGCAAACTTCATGCAGACGCTCACCTGAGGGTGGAATCAAATCCAGGTCCCTGGCACTGTGAGGTAGCAGTGCTAGCCATTGAATACTGAACAATCTCTTCATTTTCAGAACTTTTTTTTGTGATTATTTGTTGTCACTGACAAGAAAAATACAGTTTAAAATATATAAACTATCCAGTAAATAGTAAGTGCAAAATATAAATTAGATTGAAGCCAAATATACATTTCAACATACAGTAAGCATAGTGACATACATTAAGACAAAACAGCAGTAACAGTGCGCTCTGGTGTTCATTTTGCATTAGGAGGGACAAGTAGACCAGAAAGTAGAACATTCTTATTAATTTGGATCAAGCATGGTTCATAAGGGTAAAGTCACCGTAGTCCTACTGGGCCATAGGACTGCTGTCTCACTAGAGAGAGAAATGATTGGTGGTGATGTAACCTGAGGGTCACCATGTTTCAGGTGAGAGAAAAGGTTCAGCAGGAGAGTCCTTCATGGTAGTCTCAGCCAGTGCGGAACTGAACTCACGACATTGCCATCATTCTGCATCACAATCCATCTGTCCATTCAGCCAACTCATCATTATCAAAATTGAATGCATTAGCCAGTTGGACTTTGGGAAATTACATTTTCCTCCCTCGCTCTCTTAGGCAGAACCCCAGAACTGAGGATAACCTGCTTTCACTCCAGTTAAATGAGTTCTGAAATAGCTGATAAGTCTG